TGGACAGCATTGGAAATCTTCGAATAGAGACATTGCGATTGTCTACCATCGCCACCACTATCCCCACCGACGCCGCCGACGCCGACTTTTCGACTATCAATAATTTTTCTATTGATAATTCTTGATTTTATGGTCTTTAATGTAAGACGGAATTCGATGTTATTCAAAAGCGAGAAAATACAAACGATGTCGAAGAAAAATATAGAAGGGAAAGTTGAGGTGTACTAATAGCAACGGGCCGGAGGAATTGTATAAGTCTCACTATACCTTTCGGACAATGATGATAGATCTAATATTGTGCTTGACCAAAAGTCAACGATTTATTCTTTTTAATACCTCAACCTTTCTTTTCTTCCGTAACATGTTTTGACAACCAAGATTGAACCATCTTGCAGTTAAAAAAAAAAAGAATGAAAAAAAAATGACCCCTTCAAATCAAGTTCTCTAAGCAACAGAAGCCACCTACCACCAGAAAAAAAAGTAAAGTCCGTCGATCTCCACGCCACATCTGCCAGTGCTGCCAATATTGAGACCCTTGTCACCAGAAAGTGGAAGGAATCTTTTGTTCTCTGCCATCTCCCCCGAAACCCACCAGTCTCCCTATGCCCCACACTCTCTCACTCTTCCCTCTTTCGTTCGGAATCCCACACTCTCTCGTTTACTATCTCTTTCTAGCACTGCACCACCTCCCGCTTTGGTACCGGACTCTTCTCTCACCGGCCACCCACACACGCACGCAATCCACCAGAACACCCACACGAAAACAACACTCAATATTGAAAAACTTGTTTCAAACCTCTGCCCGTCCTAAACTTTATTTTTTCTCTTTTGTACAACAGTTTCCATCTTCTGTTATAAAATCTCTCAAGTCCTGATATAATTTGCTTCCGATCAACTTACTAGTTCTATGTTGTATATCCTACATGTTAGAGTTAAGTCGTCCCTTTTAAACAGTACATAATAACCCGCCCTTAGTTTAAAATCTATACACATCACCGCAAAGCTAAACCCGTTATATGCAACCATTTTTTTGGTGATCTCTTCAAAGTTAAGAGTATACTTCTTACCTTCTGAATACGTTTTTCCAACTTCGCTTCTTAAATTCTTTCAATTATTCAAAGATTCTGTTCCCTTTACATTTTCTCTTTGAGTTACTGAAACCCTTCTTAAACTTAAGGCCTATTTTTATCTCCTCCGATATATCGCTGCTAACTGATTTGACCTTTTTAATTCTTTTTTTTTTCTTCGTAATTGAGTCCTTCTCTATTCATCCTTTCTCTCATGAGTAACGATTAATTTATTGTTATTTTTAATGTGAACAGTTTCTTTCTTAATTACGTCTCTACCTCAAAAACGCTTTCTCTCTCTCTCTCTCTCTCTCTCATTTTGACAAACATATATTCTGTATTCTTCTTTGTGCAAAACATGAAAGAACACACACATTCTTTTTCTCTCTCTTGCTTTGAAACACATCCACGCTTTCTCTTACTCTCGCTCTGACACGCGCCCGCTCTTCCCTCTCTCTTATCTCTCTCTCTCTCTGGCACGCGCCCGATCGTCCCCTTTTATCTCTCTCTCTCTCTCTGACACGCGCCCGCTCGTATTCTCTCTGATTTCTCTCTCTCTCTCTCTCTGACACGCGCCCGCTCGTTCCTTTCTCTCTCTCTCTCTCTCTGACGCCCGCTCGTTCCTTTTCTCTCTCTCTCTCTCTCTCACTCTGACACGCGCCCGCTCGTCCTTTTTTCTCTCTCTCTCTCTCCCAGCCGCACCCTCTCGTTCTTTTCTCTCTCTCTCTGACGCGCCCGCTCGTTTCCTATCTTTTCTCTCTCTCTCTCTCTTTCTCTCTGACACGCGCCTGCTCATTCTTTTCTCTTTCTCCCTGACTCGCACCCGCTCGTTCCTATCTTTCTCTCTCTCTTTCTCCCTGACTCGCGCCCGCCCATTCCTCTCTGACTGCCCGTCTCTCTCTCACTCTGTCTCGCGCCTTACCGTTCATCTCTCTCTCTGACACGCGCCATCTCGATCTTCTCTCTTTCTCTCTGACGCGCGTCTGCGCATACTTATCGCTTTCTTTCTCATCGACACGTGTTCGCATACTCTCA